TCTCCTTTATGGAAGATAAGGTGGTTCAATATGTCTGTAGTTGTGTTGTATCTTCTAATCTGTTCTCCTTTTTTTTTTTTTTTGGCAATACGATGCTGATTGTATCACAGTAGCTTTATAGTATAATTTCAGGTGTGGGATTGTGATGCGCCTGACTTTCCTTTGTTGCCCAGACTGCTTGTGCTATTCTAGGTCTCTTCTTATTCCAGTGAATTTTAGAAATGTTTTCTCTAGTTCTTTGAGGTACACTAATGGTATTTTGATGACGATTGCATTAAATCTGCAGCAGTTTTGGGAGTACGGAAGCTGAGAAGAATATGTCTTCTGATGTTTTAGGAATATTCTACAGACATCTACCAAGTCCATTTTTCAGAGGTTTGGTTTAATTCTAATATTTCTTTGTTGATATTTTTTGTCTAGTTAATCTATGTGTTTGTGAACGGGTAATTAAGTTTTGCCAGTACAATCATGCTAGTGCTTATTTGGTTTTTCCCATCTGTTAGAATTTGTTTTATGTAGTTGGGTGAACCTTTGTTTCATGCATGAATATTTTTGACTGTTATCTCCTCTTCTTGGAATTTTCCCTTAACAGGTATGTAGTGACCTTCTTTCTCTCTTTTGAATAATTTTAGCTTAAAGATTACCTTTTCTGCAAATAGAATAGCTACCCCAGCTTTTTTCTGGGTTCCTATCCACAGAGAATTGTTTTCTGTCCTTTGAATTTTAGTCTATGGATTTCTTTTTCAGTTGAATGTATTTCTTGACTGTAGCATATGGATGGATCTCACTTCTTGGTCCATTCTGCCAGTCTGTTTCTTTTGACTGGTGAGTTTAGACTATTTAAGTTGGTGGTTATAACTGATATGCATTGGCTTTTCTTTTTCATGCTGCTTTCCTGTTGTTTGTTTCCCATCTTTCTCATCTTTTTAATTGCTTGCCCTGCCTGGCACTTTCTTTCTACTGGTGTTCTAGTGTTTGTTGTCTTCATTATCTCCTTCCTTTTTTTTTTTTTTTTTTTTTTTTTGGTTTTTGGGTTTTCTCTGGTACCGGGAACCGAACTCACGACCTTGTGCTTGCCTGGCAGGCGCTTTGCCGCTGAGCTAAATCCCCAGCCCTTTCATTATCTCTTTCTAATATGTCATTCAGAACATTCTGTAGAGCTGGTTAGGTGGTTATAAATTTCTTCAGTTGTTCTTTGTCATGGAAGTATCTTATATTTTCATTGAATTTGAAAGATAGTTTTTTGGAGTGAATCAATCTGGGTTGAAGACTGTTTACTTTTAAGACTTGAAATATCTCACTGAAAGCTCTCCTTGATTTGAGGGTTTCTGTTGAGCAGTCTGTTGTGATTCTGATTGGCTTTCCTTTATAAGTTATGTGTTTCTTTTCTCTAGCTGCTTTTACTGTTTTCTTGTGGAATCTTAATTAACTTAATTAACAACTTAACTTAATTAACTTAACTGCTTTGTTCTTTCTGGATTCTTAATTATTTTATGCTTTTGTGTAGATTTATTTTGGCCATGGCTATTTGGAGTTCTAGATCCTTCATTTATTTGTATGTCAAATTTTTTATCCATGTTTGGGGAGTTTTCTATCATTATTTCTGTGAAGAGATTTTTAAAGGCTTTTCTGCTATCTCCAGCTTTCTCACTGATTCCGATCAATTTTATGTTGTTCTTTGCTTCTTCTTGTACCTGTTGGACTGATTTTTCATGATCTCGTGCTATTTTTAATATATCTTTCTTTCCTGATTGCTGGCAACATTCCTGTCTTCTAGATCTAATATTTTATTGTCTTCATTCAATCTGCTGCATATACTTTCAATAGAATTTCTTATCTGCATTTCTGTTTAGATCTGTTTCTTTGATTCTATTTCTTTCTATGTTTGGCATTCATGGTTTCCAGTGTTTTCCTGAACTCCTGTATTAGTTTATTTGTGTCTGCTTTAATATCTTTCAATTTGACAATCATTTCTTTTGCACCTTATAGATTACTTTTTAAATAAAGGCACTATTTCCACTTTCTTTATTCCAAATGTAGTTATTTAACAATTATTTTTTTCTATGGCCCGTTCCATTTGTTTTTTCACATCTGCTGCTATCATTTCAGAGAGTTCCATTTGTAAGCATTGGATTTCCTCTTTTCATGCTCTTGACTTGTCCTGGGTAGGCTGGGCATTTGAGACTTCATTTTGCTTTTTCTCTTGTCATTTTCTATTTTCTATTTTACTTTGTTTTCTGTGTTGATACTTAAAATTTCTTATGTTAGATAGCCTTATCATTGACATCAAGGCTTTCCTAGGAGCTGTCTCTCTGGATGTCTTCTAGATATAGGTGGTTCTTGGTCTTTATGTCTATCCCAAGAACCTACCTTCCCAATGTGTTAAGATTGAGGAGTTACTATCTATTTGACTTAGGGCCAATTCCTTTGGTACTGTGCTATGATGATGGTTAGGACCCCTTACAATCACAGTCATTTGGGTGGTGAAACTGGTCATAGCACGTATGACATCCTGGTTAAAGTAGTTCAGTCAGCAATAATGATAGACTCAAGTACAGCTTGGCTACTGACAAATTTTGGTAACTAGTATCCTGATATCTTCAACCATAGAAGAGAGCTTTACAGAAATATAATATAATCCAACTTATACCAGGAATTTTTATTCAATGAGTTTCCACTTAATAGAGTGATTTTACCCTGTTATGGGGGGTGTTCAGGAGGATGGGAGTAGGATTAAGAGATGAATGAAGTTAAATAGAGTAGGAGCAAGGTTGGAGGGCACCAGATGATCACCCAGGTTTTAGGTAATTTAGGACACAGAAGGGAAGGTTTAGAAGAAAATGCTTAGAAGTTTTGCAATGAATTGGAAAGAGAAGAGACAATATTTCCACACATAAAATATAATAAAGTCAAGTGAGATAGTTGATTAAAGAGAGCAAGAGGATGAGTAGAATAAAGCAAAAGGAAAGGTTAGAGATCTAAATCATGAATGACAGAGAAAATAAGGGAAAAAAGAAAAAGGAAAAAAGAAAAGAAGAAAGAAAAAATTAAAAAGTAAACAAAACTATCCTCATACATTGAAAAAATAATAACATACAGAAAACAAAACAAAACAGAGAGAAAATGAGAAAAGAAGGGGCAAAACAAAAAAACAAAAATGAAATAAAAAAATGAACAAAACAAAACAAAAGCAAGACACTAATCCAGTTGAACACCAAGAGGGAAAACACACAGAGAAAAATGAAAGTAGTGAAACTCCTCTAGTGTCTACAGTTCTGTGGTAGGTCCAAGCTGGATCCCAGAAATGTATACTCTGACCATGACTGCAAGTGGAGTTTTGGTGGGTTTATATATGATCTTTGTTTCTGGATTTGGAGAATGGTATTTGTTTTCTGTGTCTACAGTTCTCCTAGTTATTTGGAAAAGAAAATGGAAAAAAAAAAAAAAAAAACACAACAAAGGAGAAGGGGGTGCCCCCACCCATCTGTTTCTAATCCTCCTGTCTTTGTCCCCAGGTACAACACTGTGTTGCTGGCATTCCCACAGGTGTCCAGGCCATGAATTCTGCCAGTGGAGGGAGGGAGGGGTAGATATCAAACTTTTCTCCCCAGGTGAATCATCCAGGTTATTGGAGGAAGTGAGGAACTGAATTCACACTTCTCTTCCCTGCTATTTATTTACTTCATGTGCTTTTATCTGGGCTATAATGTAAGTTCTATGAGAGTTGGGACTAAGTCTGTCCTGCTTAATTTTATCATGTAGCACAGGCCCTGTACTGAATACATAGTGCTTGAAAGAATGAGCAGGTGAACTAATCAATTAATATGAAATGTAAATGTATAATGGAAATTTTTTCTAGGCCACATCTTTTTTTTTTTTTTTCATATCTTTAGGCAGTAGAACTAGGCTGACAACATGGCTGATTCTCCACACCAGAACATTAAGCTCACATGGCCGTGAGACGGGCAAATTTAATTCCAGGATGAATTTCAATTGCTGTTGGAAGATGAAGGCATTTAGAAACACGGCTTGGATTTTTAAATGTTATTATGTTAATGTTATTATGTTAATGCTATTATGTTAATGTTATGAATAATTCCTTAATTTGGGTGTGACAAAAACTACATTCAATTAGCCAGTATATTCTCCTAAACATAAAAGAATGAAAGGGTTTTACATTTAGTTTGCAGGACTATTCCAGTGTGGTGTCGATTTCTTATTCTACATAACTTTAGATAGCTGAAAAGGGATCGACATTTAAGAACTGTCTTCATTTTTAAAGTAGTACAACAAATGCCTCCTGTGCTGTAGGTTCTTCACTGACCAAAGTGAGAGCAAAAATTATTTTATTCAGAGCCCAGAAAGATTGCATATGACTCTATTAACTACAGGCCAGACTGCTGGTGGGCTTCTTATTAGAGAAGTCTGCTGACAGGCATTTGCTGTAACCCTCATCACTGCGCAGTATTTGTATTTATGTGTGATTGCTACTGTCCTGTATTTGAAGACTAAGAGGAACTAAGAAAAAAGACTCAAATGTCTGTAGATATATTGCCAGCAAAATACTGTTGTAGTGGCAGCAAGAGAACTACGTAAAGTAAAGGGGGCTGGTCTCAAGATAGCTCGACTTTTGCAGTTTTTATGTTTTAGCATATTAAAATGTGAGAGCTGGATGCGGTGCCACATGTGCCCATAATCCCAGCACTGGGGAGGTTGACACAGGAGGACTGTTGTGAGTTCGAGGCCACCTTGGGCTACATAGCGAATTTAAGGGCATTCTGAACTAGATAGAGAGACCTTGTTGAAAAGGGGACAAAGTTAAAATATTTATAAATTTTAATTTTATTGAATATTAATTGTGGAAATACAGGCTACATTTTTGACGCAATAGGGCTCTTTCATTATGTTTTTAATGCACATTTACAGCATAGTGAGATGATTATTTTATGCCTGGGGCAATTATTAATGTATTAGTTCAAATTAAATTTGCTCTTTAGTGTTCCTGCGCTCAGTAACGGACTCTTCACGCACGCTCTACTTTATAATGAGTACAATTCTAACTCTGGTCAGTGGAGGCGCCAGAGAGACACTGCCGACGGGAGAGGCTGCTCTTTCGTGATTTTCTTGCTTTTGTCACTTGGTCCTTCAACACAGCTATGTGGAGACACACGCAGAGCAACATTCCCAATAATTCAGACCAACCCGTAAGTTTTTGTTTGTTTCTTTGCTTGCTTGCTTGTTTTTCTCCCTGCCTGCTTTAAAACGGTAGAATAGCTTTGACTCAAAGTAACATATAGGCTTCTTCCACTAGGAACAAACCCTACCCTGGACGGGATCCATAGGGTTGAAAGTCACCCTTCCACCTGGGGCCCCTCTTTGTTTAATTTTCTTCAGTTCTAAAGAAAGAGGGAGGAACCCTTTGTACTTTACAACTACTGTCCATCTTTTCAGTTCCAAGTCTTTGATATGTTGGTAATTTCTTGTATTAAAATTTCCATACTTAAATTATTGTGTGGCTTTGACTCCTGGGTGATCCCAGACTAATATATAATCTTTATGTGATATAATAAAGGACATTTTAGAAACACGAAACAAGTTTTTGTAAGTTTGTAAATGATTATGGTAGCTGACATGCATTTTTTGAGTAATGTTAAATCTTTGATCAGGAATACTCCTCAGAATTATAAACATTTTTTAACCCCATAGGGAAAAACCATCATACACTTAGGGTTAGTATGTTTCATTTCCTGCTGATTTTACATGTAAATACATATTATACCTTTCACTTTAAGAGCACTGTTATTTAAAAGAAAATGTGAAATAACTGCTTGTACTTAAATAGTAAGGGAAGCTGAAGTGACTATGTTTGTGATATGTACACATTAAAGATATTGACACTCAATTTCTAAATGTATGATCTTCACTTATTATTCTATCAAAAACTAAAAAGAAAGCAGAGCACAATTATGTTTTAAAAATGTGAAAATAAATGAAATAGAGTAGCCTCACTGATTTTTTTTTTTTATTACAGCGACGTAATTGCCTTATGTTTAGCTTTCATACAGCAATGTTTCGCCTCTAATCAATCTAAGACTTGGAAGTAGCAGAAAGAGCTTAAGTTGGATGGAAGTGGAAGGCTAAACACCAATACTGAGATAAAATCAACTCTTGGAAATTGAACCAGAAGCAAGTGATAGAAATCTACCATAAAGGCAAAGCATTTTATCTGGAGAATACAATGGTCAGTACTGGGCAGTAATGGATCAAGACAGGCAGGCGGATGGGCATCACACTGGTTTCAGGGAAATCTAGTGAGAGTGTAAGAGTTAAGTGTTCAATAACTTAAAGCTAAGTTAAGGAAGTTAAATATGAACACAGAGATTCTTGAAAGGATTACAGGAGTGCCAAGAAAATTGGAAAAAGTAGTATAATTCCCACCTCAGAGATAAAATTTTCAAGACAGATTACAATGCAAGCTCTCTAAGTACATGATGGGACTAAATCTGGGTGAGTAGTGAAATTACAGAAAGGAGATTAAATCAGAGAAAGAGAGAGGATCAGTGGATTGACATAGAATACAGAATGGTTTTATCTCAATAAATAAAACTGAGATAGAGAAAGTGACTACAAGGGAAAAATGGAATTAGCAAGCTATTACCTCAATGTGAAAGTATTGATTTGCTGTATTGGAGCATTTAAATTACCTGACTGAAATTTTTCTTGACCCTGGAGCTAAATTTACAGTAGTGAGGAAGGCAATGCAAAATTAAGTATTTCTGGTTATTTCTCTAAGGGATGGTAATGGATGAAGACAGACAAATACTTAGGGCATTAAATTGCCATCACAGAAATTATACATTTTTATTTTGAGTTTCACTTAGAAATAAAATTCACTTATGTGTATTATCTTCCTATATGGGCAGGGTCTAAAATTGTTAGATAGTAGAAAACAGTAAGATAAAAGGAAAGAAACAAGAGGATGAACAAAAACATTTTCCGACTTCCATAAAGTTGGTCTTTTGATATTTAGTCATTATACTGTAACAGCATTGTACATTCTCAGAATGTCCCCCATCCTGAGAATAAGGTGTATAAAATACGAATATCCTAACTTTACATTCCAGCCATCCCCTTATGCCATTCTACAAATTTATGCCCGTTAGTTTCCTCTATCCATAATTTTCCCTGCTCAGGATTTATTTATTAAAAAAGGAGCTGATATTTGAGTTGGTTATTACTATGGAACAAATGAGTGGAAAAGTTAGTTGTAAAAGTTTCATACCACTCTGATGTAACTCACAGCCTGTTTGCAGCTAGATGTCTAATAAGTAGTAGACCTTGGTGGGATAATTTCACTGGTCCACGTGCTATATTGGAGGTTTCTAAATGAAGTTTAACTGCTCATATGGTGTGAATCATAGGGCAGGAGCGGCATAGTCACATTTCTTGTCACTGGGAGGATGTATGCAAATGACTGAACTTATTTGAAACAGTCAACAAAATGCTTAAATATGGTCCCATTAGTATGGCTTTATCACTTAATTAATCTTTTTGCATTTCTGTTTAAACATTGTCTATACATAGTTACATAAAATTTAAAAATTTTTAAATGAAAATATGTTTGGAGAGTGAAATGTACTGTAACATAATTAGAAATATGAAGAGTTCTAAAAATTCTTATCAATACTTGATATATCCCAATATATGCACTCACATATTTATAAATTGCTGAATAGATGAAACTATTATATTAACAGATCCAAGCTGGGGGTGAAATTTGCATTTGTATGATCACATTTCATGTCACTCAATGATTACTTAGTGGTTTTGAACTTTGTGGCAATTTTAATTTGTATATTTGCAAGTTCCTTGTAAATTTATTAGTACTGATGTACTTATCTGTGCAAGTTAGTCATTCAGCAGAGGATGAGACGTTTCTGTTGCCTCCTTCCATTATGCTACAGTTCTGAGTCCAGCAGCAGTTAACAGTGCCAATTAAATGTAGGTTATTTTCCCGTGCCAACTACATTTTTATGTATATATCTTATCATTTCTCACATGCTTAAGAGTTATTTGTGTCTTGTGTGCTTAAGAGTTTCTTATATCTCACATACTGAAATTTCTTTAAGTATGACGATTGTGTTTTATATATTTTTGCAACTAGTCAAGTGAATCTAATCAAATGAAAAGTAGATCATTCAAATCTGTTCTTGAATTCAATTTTTAGTGCTTTTATATTGTTTATAATCATTTGCAAAAATCTGCTAAGGAGCAGTGGACACGTCTTCCATTTACTTCTGACCACTGCACAGTACTATTGTATCACTGTCTTCCCTTATAATTTCAAGCATATATTTTGTTTCACTGCCCAAAATGCAAAGTGTTTATACTGCAGTTTTTAGTGTTTTTGAGTTCATATTATACTATTCTTGTGAACTACAATTTTCAGACTTTTTACTCATGTGTTTTCAAGTTTCACAGCTTTTAAAAATATTGAATTTAATGCCTCACATTCATCCCAGTGAATTTTTGTCCTTGGTGTTTGTAATAAAATCTGTTTTCTTTTATTTTTTATTATTTTCTCCATCAGATACTTAAGTCCTTCATTTATCTTTCAAAAGCTGAAACCTATTACCTAAAGAAAACCATGTCTATTAGAGATGAGAGTTCTTTTCCATTACATGTAAATTTCTTTGCGCATAAAGTGTGACTTTTATGATAGTACTTTGTAACTTTCTATATACATCTGTTATTCTGAAATAAATGTTTGATCCCAGTGTATTGGGTTTTTAGTAAGTGTCAGATGAGAGTGTAAAATAATACAGCAATTTATGACCAATTTAGGACATAAGTGGCATAATTTTTCATTTTTATGCTTAGATGCTTATAGATATTTCTGATGTATCCTTCAAATTTTCGCATTAAAATTTCCTATAAATACAAATGAATATTTACTTTCTTTTTACAATGTACATCTTAAAAATAATATGCAATATGTACATGTACCAGTTTCCCATGATGAGTATGTTTGTTAGGTATTTAAAATATATCCTTATAAAAAGATAAAAAAGAACAGAAAAATTAGATGTACTTATTCAATTTATGTGAAGTATACCATTCTCAAAGTTAGTAATTTTAAATAACTCTGCTGTCAATATCAGTATATGAAGAAAAAACAAATGTATGCACAAGAGACCAAGCTTTGTAACATTTTTTGGCAGGTATCATACATTTATACATACTTTGCTTTGATGCCATTTAGTGAATAGATTCTCGAGTAGCACTAACATTTCTGCTATTTTTCCATTAGAGATGTATTTGATCATTTTTCTATACCATTTTGTGCCTTTAGATTTTATGTGAAATTTCTTCACTATCATACAACAAAATAAATGCCAGATCATTTACTCCTGTATCCTCACAATGCTGTAATAATGACACCATTACTAAGATAGCTCTCTTTCTCATAACTATGAGTTACTCTCAAATTTTCTTTCTTTAGCCTGTTACTAAAAACTGATGGAAAACAATTTATCACAAATTCTAGTAGATGAGTAAAAATAGTATAATTTTCATGGAAATGGTTCCTGAAATGTGTAACTATTACTTTAGTATATATTTCTCTTCTACCATTATGATCATTATTTTTCTTGATTTTATAGATCTATGTGTTAAAAAGCTGAAAAGGATATGACTTCCTTTTCACCTACATTGTAAGTTGGGAGAGACGCTGATCCCTTTTGAATGTCATTTCATTTCTATATGAAGAAAATGTTAATTTAGATCTTTACAGGAATAAACTACTGCTCAGCTATCAGACAGTTTAATAATGAAACTGCATTTATTTTTAGATAGATAATACTAAACTGAAATACTTCAGGTCAAGACAGGGAGATGAGCCAATCCTGATATTAAAGCAGATTATTTAAAGTGGAACCTAATGGAAGCAAATGAAGTTAATGTACATATTTACCTTCATATTTCTGCTTCAGTATGTGACTCTGCTACATGAAATATGCTAGTAAAAGGCCCATTGCTTCCCTGTATTCGTGTCTATTCTGGATAATTTAGCATCTGAACTCACCTCCAGCATCATGCTCTCTACTAAGCTACTCTATGACCTACAGAATCCCATAACATCATTTGTTTTCTGTTGTGGAATTGTCTGTCTACAGTAATAATTCATTTACTTTTCTGTTTCTTTCCCCTATGCCTATCAGACTTTGACATATTGAAAGCAAGATTACAATTTATTCCTGTTACCTTGTTTTCATTACCTCCATTTTACCCACACCCAGTGACTAGGGATACAGGACGATCATATATCCAATGCAAAGCTCATCAACTTTTCAAGTTTATCACGTTCGATTTAGTAGGAGTTTATTCTTCTGGCTCACTATTGGAATCCTTTCTTTTTTTTGGATTCTTGGCACTAGGTTTTTACCATCTTTTATCATCTACTGTATATCTTCCTACTTATCTTTATTTTCTGGTTCTTTCTTCTCTAGCAGTTTACAGGTTATTAATTCATTGTTTTATCATTGACTCTTCCAGGTGCTTTAGGTGGAGAGGCAAAAGATAATAATTAAAAGAAAAGCTCCTTAGGACTTTGTTGTAGTCTCTCTCTCTCTTTACTTTATGGCTATCTTTAGATTTCTTTATTAACGTACATAGTTTTAAGTTTTACACATATTTATAAATGTAGTCACAATTATATTTTACTTTGCAGATATATCTTAAATCTAAAATTAAAAAATATCTTTGTATTACTGTAATATTTCCAAATATAAATGGCACATATTGGATATCTGTTATGGTTTTTACCTAGAGGTCCCTGCAAAGCCTCATGCAGCCATAGGACTTTTTCAGAAGTGGCTGAAACTAGAATGTGTGTTCTTAGAATTAAGGGTGTGTGATTATTAAATCAGTCCACTGCTTGAATTATCAATAATTAGGATGATTTTATCCTAATTCCAGTAGTCTGCATAAGACAAAGGAGACAGAAAGATGCTGTAAGGTCTCTTGTTGTTTTGTGTCTTCTAGTACCATGAACAATTGGCTCTTTGCCATGTGGCACCCTGCCTTGGAACAAGCAAAGTATGAACCAAAACCTCTACAAATTGACAGCTAAATAAACTTTTCCTCCCTTAACTTGTGAGTGTTAGTATTTTGTGCCAACAGTGAGAAGAGTAACTAAAACAGAATTCGTTACCAGAGTAGTGGGCTCATTGCTTTGACTATACCTGGCTATGTGGTTCAAGAGCCTTTGGAATTGGCTTGTGGGAAGCAGAAGAGTTAGGAAAGGTTTGGAAATGTGGTCTGAAAACAAAGATTTGGAATGCCTTAGGTTGTACTATATGGGAGATTCTGGTCAGTGCTCAGAAGCCCAGAAAGCCAGTAAAGACCCAGCTCAGGAGGTTTCTGCTGGAAAGACTGCATTGTCTGCTGGACTCCAGATGACTTGACAGAAAGTGTGTCTGCATTTTGCTGATATCCAGAGACTGCCTGAGACTGATATTAAAGGTGGAAGACTAATTAATCTTGTAGAAGAAATTTCAAGGCTGTTGAATGCTGAGATGATGGCATGGATACAGTTGGGAGCTTTTAGCCAGACCTATGTTGAGAATCAAAAGCAAAGAGCACAGCAGAATGATTTAAAACACTGTGAATTTGGCCAGAAAGGAAGCAAAGGACTGCAAGGATAGAGCAGAGATCTCAATTGCTGAGAAGGAACAGGAGAATAAGATGATAGCCTGTGGGCATTACAAGCACCAGAAAGTCTCTACCCTTATCAGCCTCAAAATTGGGAAAGTGAAAGACTCTGCTTTGAGAAGACTCTGAGCAACATGTTCCAGAATGGCAGTGGCCTGGAAAAGTTGTTCCTTGAAATTGGATTCAGAGTCCTTAGTGATTCAGACACTTGACTCCAACAGGCAAAAGAGAGGGAATCTTGGAGACTGCTCCAGCTGGCAGCAGACCTTGGAGTCTTCCACATGGCACTGGTTTTAGGCACCTGCAAAATCCTAGAGTTATTGGGTCAGGAAGGCTTCCACCCAGATTTCAGAAGAAGACCAGGGAGACAGACACTGTTCTCCTGAGAGGGCAATGTGTGAAGCTGAGAGAGTGAAGCTGAAGGTGCAGTGGAGACCCCAGAAGTTTGGAGAAGGCAGGAAATTTGGATTTTCTGAGGAAAACTGCAAGGAAGGAAAAGAGGCCCAAGAGTGAAGCGATGGGAGCTATAACAACTGGCAGTGCTGTAGGTGCTGTGTCAGGCAAGCCCTTTGAAGTTCACATCTTGCCAAAAATTGCCCAACATGGTGCACATGGAACTACAGGATTTAATGTTTGCTCTACTGGATTTTAGGCTTGCTTTTGTCCCATTTTTTTTTAATCCCCCTATTTGTAACTTTTGGTGGTACTGGGAATTGAATTCATGTCCCTGTTTGTAACTTCTGGAACGGAAATATCTATCTTGTGCCATTATATGTTGAAAGTGTTTAAATTTCTTTTCATTTGTATAGGTACTTACAGCTAAGTGTTTGCCTTAAATCTTGGAGGAGACTTAGGACTTAAACTTTTTAGCAATGCTGAAACTGTTAGGACTTTGACAACTCTTAGAGATGGACTAAATTCCTTTTGTGTAAACAAATGTGCATCAGTCTTTGGGTGTCTGGGAAAAATGATATGGTTTGTATCTACATGTCTCCCGAAGTCTCATGTGGTCATAGGGCTTTTTCAAATGTGGCTGAATCTACAGTGTGTGATCCTTGGATTAAGCCTATGCGATTTTTAAATAAATCCAGTGGTTGATTTGGCCCTTCCCTAAGCCCAGTACTCTGGAGAAGGTCAAAGGGGCAGAAAGATGTTCGTAAGGTCTCATTGTTTTTGCTGTCTTCCACTGCCATGAATGATGGTCCCTGTCACATGGGCCACCCTGACTTGAAGCCAGTGGATTATAGATTGAAACTGTGGGCTAAATAAACCTTTCCTCCCTCACCTTGTGGGATTGGATATTTTGTCTCAACAATGAGAAAAGTAACTCAAAGAAAGTCTAAAGCTCAATTCTTATGACTGGGTTTGTGACTCAGTGGTAGAGTATTTGCCTAGAATGTGGAAGTTCCTGGATTCCATCCCCAGTACTGCAAAAACCACTGAAATTAATTTCAGGTAAAATAAAAGAGATTATTATTCATTAAGAAGGGGACATTTTAGACTGAGGTTCAATTCTCAGTACTGTATAAAAGAAAAAAAAGGAAAAATGAATTTTTAAATTAAAATTATCTTTTAATTACATGGAAAAACTATCAGAATAAAAAGACACTGTATTTCTATTCTGGGTTTAAGTATACAGGCTCTTCCAGTAAGTAACTTGGCAACCCTGGCGACCTCTCAGAATCTTGTTTAACTGCCTATAAAATGTTTTACATGTCATCTAGATTCTAAAAATTCCTAAGCACCATAGTATTAACATTGTAATAGGATTTGGAAGAATAATGAAAGTAAAAGTTCAAAATCTCTGAACCTAGTAACTTTATCAAGGTCTGTCCATCAGGTTACTTTAACATCATATTGTTGCTCCCTCTTTTCTGTGGTTTGAGCTTTTAATATATTCTTTGATGTTCTACCTGTTCTCCATTCAAACTCATAGACCCAAACAAGGACTTGCTACTAACTTTTGAATGCTTATTTATAGTTACTATTTTTATAAGCAATCTGTGGACACAACACTAATTTTTTCTTAGTGTAAACTTGACATTATTGCAAACTAGCTCCTTAAAATCTTTTTTTTCCACAAGATTTCCAAGCATGGGTTTCACTGGATAAAGAGATTTTTAGAGAACATGTCATACTTCCAAACAATAATCTGAAAACCTACAACTCAATATTGGTTTATGAAATTAGTTATTGCAACAGAAAAATTACAATTTGGTGGGTTCAAATATATGATGTACTAGAGAGGATAATGGTAAACTTAGACACTGATTTATGAAGAAAGTGATGGAAAGTAAAGCAGCTTTGAGAAGGGCAGAGAGAATTCAGTTGTACGGAATTTGAGGAAAGTAGGAAATGAGACAGGTGGCACAGAGTCAGAGCAATCCTAATAAATGGTAGGGGACGGGTCTCTTGCATGCCTGGCTCTGATCTTTGGCACAGTGAACGCACATCGTTCTGATTCCTCCGGCCAGGTGGTTAGGCTTGTGTCTTACATCCGAGGGTCTGCAGCACTGTCGTGAAAAAACTGCATATGTTTTTACTGCTACTTATACTGTGGCTTATTACTGTTCAGAATTAGATCTCATTACTTTGCTTTCAATCTGAAAATTAGAAATTACTTTTCATATTTTATAAAAAAAATCTGAAAATAATCAATTACACCACAAAGGCCATCTCTGAAAACTAAATTTCTGCACAGAGAAAAGTCTCATGTAGCTATCAGACGAGTGATGAAACCTGTGTTATTTTTCTCTTTGTATTGTTTTACAAACAGTAAACATTCTATTTAATGTTTATATTTTTTTGTCTCATTTCTCTGCTTATTACTAAAAAGCAGTACCCATACTTCTGAAAAGCCAAGGAAAACTTTGGTTTATATATATTTTTATGTTAGTAAAGATATATTATATTGTAATAAAATATTTGTGTATTTAACAATTATATTTAACTAAATATATTTACTAGTTAATATTAATAAGAATATATTTGCTTAAAAATCTAATAAAATTTATATATTAGGATTTCCTTTACTTATGTTTTATAGTAGCAAAATACTGTAAGATTTAGAATTAATTTTGAAAATTGGAACCTAGTATAGAGAATTGGTCATAAGAATTATGCATTACTTAAGTGTTTCCAAAATGAAACACATTTTGAAATTAGCAAATATTTGAGTAGTATTGGACCCACATTCAAAAAATCTATGCTTTGCTGTTTTAAAAATAGAGTACATATTTTAAAGGATTAATTATAAATTCAAGTAAAAACTATAAATGCCCATGGAGGAAGGAAAGGAAGTCTGGATTTAGAATAAAGAAAAAATAAATAACCAATGTTCTGAAAACAGCTTTTTCACTTGCTAGCAAAAGGATTTAGAGAGATTTATGACCTTTCAATTTCAGGTTTTGTCATTTGCTAAACTCTAATAAGAAAAGTACTCACCACAGAATATTACATTTTAGAATATTAATTGTATCTGTATATTAATTATTCAAGCAAAGTGAAAATGTTAAAGAGATTTGCATAGAGAAACTTAGTATTGTTATTTTCCTATTATGCAAATGATCCAATTTTTCATTATGTATATTTTTATTCAATTGCATTTCAAAAGCTTTATTTTTTACTGCAATCATTAAAAATAATAAAGGAAACAACTTAATGGGATTGTGTAAGATGAAACTGCTGAATTTTTCTGTATGTTTACTTAGAAAATGTATTGAACAGCTATATTTGGATTTTGGGAAAGCCAAAGAAAATATCTAAATTTCTTATCAATCAGTTATATGTGCTAAAATAGTACTTTCAACTTATTTTGCTTCTAAAATAATATGTGGATAAAACAGATCTAGAAAAATACATGTTATGATTTTCAAGAAGCAGATAATAAGGCTACTAAATTATTTTTTAAAAATAGATATTTCTATTTTTTCACTAGTTTTGGCTTTAATATTCCAGTTTTACATCTTGCATGTAATGTAATTTTTGAATTTCTGGAAATTTCAATGAATTAATTATATAATCTTAAATTTTAATTATATTAACTGAGTGTTCTTAACACAGTCTGCACTTGTCAAAATTCTTTTAAAAAGTTATCTAGTGTGCTTACAAGCATTACTACTACAATGTACACTTAAAATTTTGTTATCATGACCAAACAATTAAAATTTACCTGGATATAATTTATCTACATTCATAAATGCCTATAATTATGTAAAAAGTAAAAATCTCTATAGATTTTATTTTCCACAAGCATATGTGTTCACATATAACTTATTTCAAATAGTATAAATGAAACACTTTATATAGAATATATTTGAAATATCTATTGGACTACATAAAAGAAAAGCTAATAATAGTAATCCTGTGAAACAAGGTTATTTGCTCTTATAATCAAATCTTATCAATGAAAGGCCTTTG